GCATGTTTTTGACAACCAAATTACACAAGCAGTTGCTCCCCAGTGGCTCAGCGGCAAGTCTGAACGCTTATAACACTAAAAACCTGATTTCGATACTTGTGTTGGGCATAGCACAGATAGCCTATTGCGTAGGTTCGCGCTTATCAACAAAGGAACAAATAAACAGAAACTTCTTGGACAAAATATCAACAAAGGCGTCTTTATCAGTGGAAAAAAAACAAAACACTGAAAAGTTATAAAAGTACCTAAGAATATGTTAGGGTTCAGTTACTAAAACAAATGAATCCCAAACAATTTTCCCATTTAGAGTTTCATGAGCATCTAAGTAGGTTTCAACGCAACCTTTAATTTTTTCTTATTGTTGTAATAGCTAAAACATAGTGTACAATAGTATTTCAAGTCACATTAAAAAAGCGTTCTCATATATATGTAGAAAAGTAAAAAGAAGTTGTACTTAATTGTTGTTGTTGCAAGAAGGCAAAAAATATAAATAGTCTGCGCTTTAAAAGATTTAAATGTGGGTGAAAGATTTATAAGGCTCGCCATCAGCTTCATTTCTTTAAAGCCTATTGAAGACATATGTTTCAAACATGATAGCCCCCCAGTGGCACAGCGGTATGTTTGCGGAGTTATATTGCTAGTAACCGGGTTTCGATACCCGTGGTGGACAGCACACAGATAGCCGTTTGTATAACTTTGTGCTTAATAGCAAACAAACAAATCAAATATGACAATATTCATACTTAAGATGAGCACGATAAAAAGTAAGACAGAATTAAATACACAGAAAGGAATAAAGAGAAATACACAGAGAGAGTTCTTTATTTTAACTTCCTGATCTCAAAAATGTTATATAGATAAGTTTGATGGTCGTGTAGTTGGATAGATAAATACACGTATGTAAGCCATAAATAAATATATTGCGTGTGTTGTATGCACCAGAATACTGAATATTTTTTCGCTCAAATTTCCTTGCGTATTATTGGATTCTTAGAGGCAATTCATCAATACTACATTTCAGAAAGTACATTTCACGGCATTCTCTTCTTTCTGCTATGCACGTGTTACTGGCATCTCTTCAGTGAACAAACGAGTCGTACTTACGATAATTAAAAGAGGATATGTACGACTTGTCGTAGAACTTGGCGTCGAAAGTTCCACACGTCCGTTTACTTCTCTTCCCCTGTCTTTTTCACCACTACATTCTCCTTAATCCAGCTTAATAGTGGATTAAAATTGTCATATAAAACTTCTTTTTGCTGTCGATAATCAGTGGGATTCTGGAAACCTTTAGAGCGTATTTGATTCATAATATTGAAAAGTAAGGAGACTTCTAATAAACAGATGCCCTTATAGCTAGCTGAAAAATAGAAAAGGCGAAAGTTTGAAAAACAATATTTTAATAAGTATTATTTATAACTTACAAGTATATATAGGTAAATGTAATACCAAAACTTAATTCTCTGAAATGCGAATTAAGAACGATTTAGAAAGTTGGTCAAAGATTTTCAAGACGATTATTGAATCTGTAGTATCAGAAAACACTTTTTTGGGTTTTGCAAGCGCTTTAATTTAGGTAGTTCTAAAATATGTGCAATTGTTTTTGATTGCCTCAATTAAAAAGCATTGTTTATAGTAGTTTGTAAAATATGATAGCTGATATTTGATTAATTTTTTTTGCTTGCTAAGTTTTTAGTTTTGGTTCTTTATTCATAAAATTTATGCCCTCTTCTTTTCCCAGTCTTAATAGTAATGTCATTGGATTTGAACACAGGATTTAAAGTAACTAGAAACAGCTATTTCGATATAATTATCACGCTTTTAGAGAATAAGGTGCTCTGGGCTTCAAAGCATTAAAAAGCACATTATCCACACAGCCATGTTGTACTTGTAAGAACGGAGAGACAGGTGTATAAAAAATGTCATAAGTAAAATTTACAATTACTTTGAAGAATGGTTCGTCTCAGAACAATGAAACAGGAACGAAAAACACTAGGAGGTAAAACAGTTGTTAGTAATTTCATCAAAAAATATCAGTTTAATAATATTTAAAGTTTAAATGTACAAGGCAGTGAACTGGATAACACATAGCTTATATTTGTATAAATTTATCGCAGTTGGTTGTTAACTCTTTCGGCTTTTCATGCCGCTGTGGATAAAACACTAAGTCTTGTAAATAAGATTCTACACAGTGGCGGCTTCTTTGAAACACGACATTCCAAATAAATATATTTCAAACAATAATGTTTTTATCATTGTGTTTCGTAATGAATCAAATAATCAATTACACAACTAAGTTTGACTATGTAAGCTTGGTAGCGTATGTAATATAATTTTAGTTCGACTCCTAGACATTTAATTTATTCATACCATTTTCTTATTTACGTACATTTGACTTTAATCTCGTTTATTTACTGTCTTTAATGATATGTTCTTATAATTAATTTTCTGCAGTATATTTCTCCCAAGTTTGTCTTTATTTAGCAAAATAATTATTTTTGTTGAGTCAGGAAGACTTATGAATGCTTGTTAATCTAAGTTTGCTCTTATCAAGAAAAGTCCACACAAATAATCAAAAGTCGTGCTTCGAATGCCATGTTACTAATTTTAATTGTTTTTATTAGATTTATATTAGTGAACATAACATAGATTTCAACTACCTTATTACATAGTGTTTCTACTTTATGGAAAGTTTGGGAAAAAGCAGATCACTTTCATTTTTATTGAAAGGATGACAGTTCACAGCAGAGTGTTCACTTTACTTGTAAGGAAGTCGAGTGCGATGACGTCAGTTCAAAATACCCGGATACCATAAATGTTCCTTATGATACGTTTCATACGGTTCCGTTATTTGACTTTCTATTCTTATATATATATATATATATATATTATTAATTTTTATCAACTTTAAAAAGTAAATTATTGAATTTTCTTGCAATTGCAATATATTTCAATATATAGTCACCGAAGGTGCGCTAGCCCAAGTATTAACTAATCGGGTGCGTATTTTAAATTTATATGCTGACTTAGTTCTTTTTTTTTTTTGAAGTTTTAATTTCTGAAACTAATTTTTGATGTGAACGCCGATATATTAAAATGAACTATTTATGTAAATATGTCCTCGATAGGTCTGTGATAAGTTTACGTACTTACAACACTAAAATCCGGGATTCGATTCCCGTGCTGGACAGAACGCAGTTAGTCCATTATTTGGCTTTGCAATAAAACAAGCAAAAAAAAACTATTTTATGTGAGGGTTGTTTCATGACACTGCGTATTTCCCAATTTCCAGTTCATTATATGCATAACTGAGTGCTGGGACGAAGCATATCCTGTATAACAAATTGGCAAAAAAGTACTTAGCCGAAGGAAACTAAAACCTGTAATGATTAGAACGCATTGAATCGTCAACGGGATAAATACGCTGTTAACGACACTTTCAGCTGTATAGATCCAGTATTTGTACAATATTATGAAGTAATCACTTGGTGTAATTATACTGTACATCTATTATTTATTTTATTAAGCAAAACTAAATAAATGCATAATAAGACTATATATTCATATATATATATATATATATATATATATATATATATACGCTCTTTTATGAATATTCATAATATCGTTAAAACTTGAGCATTATTCCAAAACAGTTTTTATGAAAGCTCTGTATGCGAAATACAATATGTAAATGAAACTTTGATCCTCAATCAACCTTAACATTAGAGCAGTTGAGTGCCTCACGGTGACAACAAGGATCGATAATAAGTACTTTTTTGTTATCGACAGATTTTAGTTATTAAACATTTCTTTACGATGCTTTGTCATAGAATAAAACATTTTATTAATAACAATGACCATTATTTTGAAGTTTGTTGGAATTTGGATTTAGCAAATATTTTATATAATTCAGTGGAAGTATAATGTCGAGCTATTTTGTTCAAAATTTGTGTAACTTGTGAGTTTTCAAACGCTTATTGTTATCGATGAGAGTACGTAGCTATAGATTAGCTAGCATTTGTAAATTCGTGGAGAATACAAAATAATTTTCTGTATACGAATTCTGTATCACCAGATTTGATGGTTATTGGTGCATTCGAAACATTGATATGAAATATTACATTTAATCATACCCAACTTTATTGGCACCTTAAAAGTTTGCTTTAAATAATTGCACAACGTGTTTTTGTTTGTTTTTTATTCTGTTATTTCGATAAAAGAAAAAGGCCTGAAGTTTAGTTAAATTTTCCTATACAACCCATAAGAATTTATTACCTGAATCACCCACAAACTATCATCCCATCTATGTTTTATTACCATTATTACCATACGATACACTTCAATTAGCTGTATGTTCCATTTGGTGTCATTACCTTATACATTCTAATTAACCTCATCTTCCCGTACGCCCTATTTGCTTCTCCATTTTTACACTCTCTCCAGTTTTATCTCTATACACGCCTCTCATCTTTTAATCTTGTGCATACCCACTTACTCTTATAATCATGCTATACAGCTTAATCTTTCCTGTATATCGTCTTACCCATTACATGCCAAGTGTTATAAAGGTTTATCAAATGTCAAGATGAGTATTTTACCCGAATAAGAAAACTTTATAATAAACATTTCAAAAACGCCAACTACACAGTGTTTATGGTTGAAAAATGAATATGTTAGTTTTTGAAGCTTCCGAACATTTTACTGGCTACACGAGACAGCTTGATTATTTTTATTTCACCGACTTTTATTCTAGATCGGTTTGTTTACCATGTAAAATAGTTCTGTGTGCCAGTGTGAGCACTTGATTTTAGTAGAGCTTAAAATATACAGAATACTATAATTTGCTCTTGAGAACCGAAAAATTCGTCATGACCACCTAAAACTCTGCTCTTCGGTTATTATTAGTATATATATAGCCGTTAATGTTGGTACACTTTATATAGACTTGCTCAAAATATATTATAATTAACAATCATCAGAGGTTTTTTGTATTTTAGTGACTTGTACTCTTCACCTCAGTGCAAACCTGTGCAACTGAAGCAAGTAGTTGGTGGTGGGGGGGATATTTTCACTGCCAGATCTTCACAGATATGTCATAGCTTTGGTAGGTTGGAGTTTTGAAAAGTTTTATAGCCAGTGTTGTTATGATCATTAAAAATAAATATCCACCATCAAAGTTATTTAGTGTTTGTCTTTGTTTTTTTTTATATACTTGGCTATTTTTTATTTTTTTACCTTAAGTTCAATTTAGCTTAGCTTAGTTTCAAATTTTCATCAGTCCTTATTGAAATCAGTATAATTTCTTAGATTTTGTTCAGCGTACAAATCAAGATATTTCTTGTTTTACCCACATCTTGCGTCATACATCTTTCATACGCACTTTTGCAAACTAAATCGTTAGAGCTTCCATTATTACGGATTGTTACTACCTGTGATGCTGTTTACTCTTTGATTGGAATACAACAACATTACTTACACATGCTATACATGACTGAGGTGAATACAGTTCATTGACCTTAGTGTCTGAAAAATATTTAATATTTTAGACAATAATGCTTTTTAGTGATTTAAATAAATTTCTAAATAGGGATAACTTTGTATATTAACACAATACAAGACTACATAAAGTTTAATAAAACATAATTAATTAATGGCAAAGTAGTTTGTTTGATTTTTATATTAATTAACTATTTTTAGAAACACTGTAAGCTCCAAATATATGTTAAAATGAGTTATTCTTAATTTTAATACCCTCCGGTTGTTCAGCAGTAAGTCTGAGGGATAATAAAGCTAAAATTCGGGTTTCGATTGCGTAGGTGTGCACTTAACACATAATCAAACAAAAAACCTTCCTTTTTTAACAACGAAAGTCAGAAATACTACTACTATAGATTAAAGCGTTGCTGCAAAATCACGCTTCGCATTTGAGACCAAAAGGCATTAAAAAAGTGAGGTTCAAATCCCACTATTCGATTAGAGTAGCCATAGTGTTGGCAGAGAGTGCTGTTGATTAGCTGCCTTCCGTTTAGTTTATCAGTTCAAAATTAGAGACGGCTAGCAGTGTATCTTTGTGCGAACGTCCTATACAAACAAATAAAACTTGTTTTTTACGAAACTAAAATGTCTTAAATCCATCTACTAGCGAAATTAGTGTAAAGTGAAGAAAAAAAATCTGAAAGTGTAGTCGTCTTTAATATTGAACTATAATATACTGACTCAAGGGTAGCTAGACAGTCAACGGCACTTTCTGCAACGAGGTCTTTGTCCGGCCCTTTGAATTGAATAACAGGGTCTACTGTTGCTTCCATTAGAAGTGCAAAGCGTGTTCAGTAGCATCACGTTAGGAGCCCCAAACCCTTCGAGTCGCAGTCTCACACGCTAATCATCAAGACACGACCAGCTTGTATCACAATTGTTCTAAGTAGTTATTACCTAATGTGTTGAATATCTATGAGCTGATTTGTAATACTTTCCTAAAGTATCGTTAAAAACAGAAATCGTTTTGCTACATCACTTGCCGTGTTACCGAACACCTGAAACATACACAGAACAGGGTGTGACTATGTGAAACCAAAATAAAAATTGTTCTACAAATTTAATGACTATTTGTAAATTCTATTTAATATATTTAGCCCCCAGTGGTATAGCGGAATGTATGCGAATTTACAATGCTAGAAACCGGGTTTCGATACCCGTGGTGGGTATAGCACAGATGGTCCATTATGTAACTTTGTGCTTAATTACTAACAAATTAACATATTTAATCTCGGTAATATTTCTTTATTTACGAACCTTTACGAAGAATGATTCCTTAATACGTTTTTTTTAAAACCAAAAACGATGAATTTGTTTGTTTGTTTGTAATTATGCACAAAGCTACACAAGGGCTATCTGTGCTCTGCCCACCACGGGTATCGAAACCCGGTTTCTAGCGTTGTAAGTCCGCAGACATACCGCTGTGCCACTGAGGGGCAAAACGATGAAAATACGTGTAATACAGAGACGTTTCGATGAAACATTTTAATGAAGGTTGTTCGGTCGAAACATAGATTAATATAATATTTATCTTAGAGTTAAATTTGGATTTTAATTTAATGCCACGATAATTTCGACTTACTTTGAACTAAATGTAGCATTCTGTTTAGGATTTTCCCCAATTTTAAAGTGATAGACCAGAGAGAGAAGGCCAACAGCACTTACCGTAACCTCTTGGACTATTGTAGTCTAGCCTTTAGCTATTAACTTTTACCAGGACTGTGGATATGTATTCTACAAAAATCTTACATTGATTTTTTTTATGTTTAATGTATGTTGATATGAAAACAGGATGCAAAATATTTTTTCAGGTATAAAAAACATAACTTTATACTTAAAAAACATACAAGATGATATACGAATTTAAATATCTTACATGTAAATCAAGTTCGACTACTAGGCACTTAAAAACACACAAATAGAACATGCAATTTTAATGACGAATAATAAATATGTGATCATGCGCTTGTCAAATCTGACGTACACACTATCTTTAAGATTCTCGCTAGACATGTTGAAAAGAGCTGACGTATAAAACAGACATTATTGATTAACAAAGAAAAACCAGAACTGAACAAGATAGTTTCAGCAACAAAACTTGCAACATTAATATAGAAAAGTTTGGACTAGCTTAAATACTGTTTTCTTTATAAAATAATATTTTTCACGCGAGTGTACACTCTTCCATTTTCATTTTCTAAACTTTCTTGCAATACGATATAGGCCAGCGTTATAAACATTAATATATTCTGCCTTGCATTGTCTAACCATAAAAACAGTTCATCTCTTTAAGTTCTCTTCGTGACCCGTAAAAGAATATACGTATACAAGAACTTATTTTCTTTGTGTCGTTAGTTAATAAAAACCTATAGCAGGAAACTGATGGAAGGTCATGTGTATCGAAACTATGAAGATTACTATGAGAAGGCAACATCGATAAAATAATTTTAAGAATGTAGGTTATTTCTAAAATAAAAAAAAAACATCAACTAAAAATCGATATCCAAGAAAAAACAGGTACTATACATTTTGGATCACAATATTAACACTCTCATGAGGAGCAAACTTGATAACAGCTGTTTCAATAAACATATTCATGATTTCATGAACATGCAGCCACCTGTTCTTATCTGATAAAACGTATAGTAAATAACAATATGGAAGATAAATTATCAACTAGCATGACTAGTACTGTTTGAAAACAACAACAACAATAATCAGCTATTTTCAGTGCGATTTTTTGTGAGCTATTTTAGTTACTATAATATATACGACTAAAATGAATAGCTCACAATTTTTAAACCATTATATCAGATACATTTATGATAGAAATTGCTTTTGATATGATAGATGCTAAAATAGTATTTTGGTTAAAGCAGCTACTGTATTTTCATTTAAGTTTGTGGTAAACGTAAAATGAGATAAGGTTTTCAACTTTTAAAGTTGTTATGATCGTGCTATATTCGCACTTCGCTTTTTCTTCTTATGTCTTTCAAATTTATATAGGTTATGTTTATTCCTATAAGGAATTGACTAATACCATATAAACACAACAAATTGCTATTTATTGCTCGTAACTGATAACAAACAGATTTGAAAATAAGTTTTCTTTTTTATTAGCAGCATATTACTTTCTTCTTTCTCCTCTCTCAGTTTTTCGTTCTCTCTCTCACACACATTTCCTTGTCTTCTTCTTTTTCGTTGAAGTCCTGTCTTTTATATATATATATATATATATATTAATACCCATGCTGAATTGGTCCCTTTCTTTTTTTATCTGTTTTCCGTTTGTCTGATTATAATGTTTCTTAATCATATGTGGTCTTGTAATCTCCATTCCTGCTAAATTTAGAACGGCGCTCTCTGTACCTTCTCGCTTTAGTCATTTTCTAATGACATAAAGTGTTGTAATCCCCCAATTCGTTAGAGGCTGACTAAAGGCAGGCCACTTTCTCGCACTCTTTCAACTTCAACTGATGTTACCTTACATCTAACTTCATGACAAGAGTATTTATATCTGCAAATATATTATTTATCGTACCTGAAAGGCGGAGTATGCCTTGGAATTTAAAATATCTTATATCAAAAGGAGGTTATTCAGCCTATACGTGATTTATCAAGGGAATTCGTCAGCAGTTTCTTGGCGTTTGCTGAAATAATATAATTTATCAAGAGTGAGCCCTGTCTGTTTCTAAGACGTATACGAATGCTAATATGGCATTAATTGTCAATATAAAGAATATGTCATTGGTCTGAGGGCTATTTATTGGTGCTAAAATAATAGCATATCTTAAAACAATGTTTCATTAACCATTATTGGTCTCTAGAATATTGCTCAATGCCGAAATAATAGCATCTTTCCAGACAATGGTTTGTTAACTTCTACTCTAGGCTGTTGTTGAATGTTAATGACGTATGAGGATAATTTATCATTAGATTCTAAGCTGCAGGAAGATTCATAATATTATATGTGAAACAAGTTTATTAATACTCAGGCAGTTGTTGAATGCTGAAATAATAATATCATCTTTCAAGACCACGCTCCATGATTCTAGAATATTGTGGGATGCTAGAATAATACAATTAATAAAGTACATTTTTTTATTATTTAATCTGTTGTTAGATGTAAAATTAATATTATGTTTTCAATAAGAAGCTACACATTTCTAATGTTTTTAATGAAGTTATAACATATATATATATATACACCGCTGAGATTCTGTAGTTTCTGGTGTAACATAAATAACTTTTCTACATCGTTATTTCGCTCTCTTTGTAGGCATCATTTAAATTTAAATTTAATTTAATTCTGATATTTCTTTGTTTCTTAGAGCAAAGCCACATTGGGCTATCTGCTGTGTCCATCACGGAGAATCTAACTCCGGATTTTAGCGTTGTAAGTCCTACCAGGAAACTTTAATTCTAGCTTATTTGATTTAAAGATTTATATTAGCAGTATTATGTGTTATATTATATATATAAAAGTAACCTGTTGCCTCAGTTTAACACCACATATAAAACCAAATGTTCAAAGGAGTATTCCAAGTTCGTTCTATGAATGTAGTTTTA